ATCGATTACCATGAAGTCTTTTCTCATGTGGTGAAACACAAAACCATCCGAGTTCTTTTGGCAATGGTGGGTGCTTTTGATCTGGAGCTGGAGTAGCTTGATGTAAAAACAACATTCTTTCATGGTAATCTAGAAGAACAGATTTACATGTCTCAACCGGAGGGGTTCGACAGTTCTAAAGAAGACCGGGTATGCTTGTTACAGAAATCTCGTTATGGCTTGAAGCTGTCTCCAAGGCAGTGGTATAAGAGATTTAATTATTTCATGGTATCTAATGGTTATACTCGTAATCAGTTTGATAACTGTGTTTACTCGAAGAAAGTTTCTAGTGATTCCTTTGTGTATCTGCTGTTGTATGTGGATGATATGTTAATTGCAGCTAAAAACATGGTTGTAATTAATGACTTTAAGGCTCTACTAAAAAGTGAGTTTGAGATGAAGGATTTGAATGCGGCAAAGAAAATACTGGGTATAGAGATCTGGCGCGATAGAGAAGTAGGACAGTTATGAGTTTCTCAAGAATAGTATATTGAGAAATTTTTACAGGCATTCTCTGTTGATCAGTCCAAACCGGTAAGTACCCTTTTGGCGGCACACTTTAAACTTGATCGAAGCACTATACCAACTACAGATGAAGAGGTTAGCTACATGATGATGGTTTCATATTCAAGTGCAGTTGGAAGTCTTATATATGCGATGGTATGTACGAGACCGGATCTCGCTTTTGTGGTTAGTGTGGTGAGCAGGTTTATGGCTAATACGGGTAAAGCTCACTGGGGAGCTGTAAAGTGGATCTTGCAATATTTGAAAGGAGCATCTGATATTTGTCTAGTATATGATGATAAAGGCCGTGCTAATGGTCTGGTTGTCTATGCAGACTCTGATTACGGGGGTGACTGGTGAAACGAAGATCACTGACTTCCGTTATCTTCACTCTGTTTGGATGTGTAGTCAGTTGGAAATCTACTTTACAACCTACGGTTGCACTGTCGGCGACTAAGGCGGAATACATATCAATGATTGAAGGTATTAAAGAGGGTATCTGGTTACATGGTCTGGTGTAAAGTTTGGGTCTGAAGGTGAAAAAACCGGTGTTATTCTGTGATAGTCAGAGTGCTTTGAGTTTGGCTAAAAATCCGGTGTATCATGAGAGAACCAAACATATTTATATAAGGTTGAATTTTATTCGTGATATTCTAGAGGAAGACAATTTTTCTATTTAGAAAATAGCTACATAACACAATACAGCTGATATGTTGACAAAGGCGCTACCGACGAAGAAGTTCGAACACTACTTGAACTTGGTGAATATTCACATGAGGTAAAGCCCTCTCGGGGCATCTGGCAAGAAGGAGACGGATGAGAGATACTGACGAACCTTTGGCAGTTGGAGAAACTCCAAGTCAATGTGGAGATTGTTGAAACGTGACTTGGATTTAGCGGTCTACTCAACCCGAAACCAAAGCGAAAGGGTTGTTTCAATTGACATGGTTCCTTTTGGACTTATCCTAATTAATAACAAATAGGCTTAGGGTTTAGGGTGTTTTGAGGTGTTTATAAATAGATAGCTATGGTTCATATTAGTATGACATTATTGTAACTCTCTGAATCAGTATAATAAAATCTCTCCGGTACCTACCCGTGGATGTAGGTTGACACACCGTCACCGAACTACGTAAAACTTTTATATTCTTTATATGTTTTCTTTCTCGTTTTCTCATAACAATATAATATATATATATATGAGATCGGTAGGGGTTCCATCCCACCATATTTTTTTTGTTATTTTTTTAGTAAAATAAATATGTATTAAATATTATTAAATATATCATAATTAATTAAAAATTAATTATATTTTTAAAGATAATAAAAAATTGATTTAATTTTATAATTATAGTAAATTAGAATGTAATTTTATATCAATTTATACAGGGTAATGAAAATTTAATCATTTTGAAATGTAATTTTTATTATTTTAAAAATTAATGTTAATTATATTGATAATGAATAAAATTGAAAATAAGTCATTATATTTTCTAATCCTAATATATTTATATATATAACGGCATTAAGTCTCATAATTTCATAATTTTTTTTTTCATTTTTAAAATTCTTAAACAATTTTAAAATTGATGTAATATATTCTTTATTTTTATTTATATCTGTAATTAATGAATGATAGAATTTTATTAATTTTTCAATGTAATTATTTAACTAACATATATATTCTCGATTACTTTATATTTGCTAAATTTAACATATCAATATGTCTGTTAAATATAATTTTATTATTATAATGTATATATAATATATAATATATTTGAACTAGTGGATCCCACATAAATCAGATCGTTTTTTTTTTTTCTATTGTTTGAAATTTTTTAAAAAATAAATAGATTATTAATATTATTAATAACTTAATATAAATATTATATAGTTATAATTTTCTTTGTTCGGTAAAAATCACAAGAAGAAATAAATATATATATATATATATTATATAGTTATAATTGATACAATTAAGGAAACTATTATTTAATAGATTATTTATTAAAATTTAAAATTTATCATTATTATATAAAATACATCAATAAAATGGTATAATAATCTATTTTGTTTTCCTTTTAATTTTTTAAATAAAATAAATTTAAATTAAATAATCGGTAAAATTATAACTAACATACTTAATAATATTATAATAAATGCAGTTAATGAATATTTTAAAAATTAATAAAATTATTAAAACTATTGTATATTAATTAACATATAACAATTTTCTACTTATTTTAGTTTTAAAATATATTAATTTATATTAAAATAAATATTCTATTATACGTATATATTAATATAAAATATCATATACTTATTATTAAGTAATTTTTAATACTCCTATATTACTATTATATTATGATTATATATATTAATTATATAATTTTTGGAAAAATTTTGATATTTTCTATATTTTTATTTTAATATTTTTAAAAGATAATAATAATTATTGATTATATATTTTACATAAAATATAACTTAAAATTTTTAATTTTACAATATTATTTGATTAAATTTTTAGTTAATTTAATTAAATATATAATATAATTTAAATATAAACAAGATATAATCTATATAAAGGAGAATATTTATTTGTTTTTATTTATTTAATAAATTTTTTATAGTTAAATTCTTCTTAATTAATTAAGATTTTATTTAAATTCTTTTTTTTTTCTCCCCCTAATTATTTTCCTTCTTCCTTCTTTTTTTTATTTGTCATTTGCATTAATTTGGATTAATGAAATAAATTCCGAAATTTATGGTTGGGAACTAAACATCGATATTAATGACAGATTTGATAACACTCTTCGTTAGAATGTATATATAAAGGATTTTTGTACACTGATTTCATATATTCCGACAAGTTTCTCTCTCACTTACCCATCCGATACAATTCTTTTCTCCTGCATTTTAATTCAACGAAGCTTCAAAATATTGGAGTACCACCTAATCAGAAGACAATGTTTTAAAGTATAATTTACTTATAATATTTTATTTTTTTATTATTTTGTACGGTGTATAAATAATTTAATATATATATTATATTTATGTATGTTTTAGTGTTTTTTGTTTTTAGATAATTCCTATATTAGTTAATATTTAATAATAAAATTAAAATAAAAAATTGATTTACTTTTATTTATAATATTAATTATATTTGACAGTTAATTTTGTTTTTAACAATTATATTATTCACATTTTTTATATTTAAATTTACATTTTAATTTATTTTAAATTAAATTATTAATATTGATTATTTAATGTGAATTTTTATAATTTTACTTCAAATATATTTGTGCATATACAAATTTTCAATAGATCCTCGTTGTCTTCTTTTTTTTCTTTATTTTTTATATTTTTGATCAAATAAATTTATATTAAATATTCATAATTAATATATCTAACAAAAACTATAATTAACACAGCTTAAATATTTTAAAATACATCAAATTTAATAAAATTATTAAGAATATGGTACTATATATAATGTATATATAGAATGTACTTTTTTATTCATTTAAAATTAAATAATTACTTCATTTTTTATTTAAAATAAAAATGACAAAAATAAAAAAATAAAATTGTTTAAGTTGGAAAATTAATTAAACAAATTTAATTATTTTTTATTTTTATACTTGAATCATTTTTATTTTTATATTTTTTTTCAATCATTTTATTTCTACTTCTATTATTAAAATATTAGTATCAGTCATTACGGAAGTATTAAAATAAAAATAAATTAATATAAAATTTTATAAATAATAATAAAAAAATATAATATCAATATATCTTAATATACAAAAACATACATACTAAAATAATATATGTACATTCTTTTATTCTTAAAATTCACTTTAATTCTTTATTTGAATTTTTTCAAATATTTCATAATATGAAAATAATTTATAAAATTGAAAACCACATTATAAAAATATCTCTAAAGTTAAAAAAAAAAAAAAAATGTATTAAAATAAAAGTAAAATGATAAATAGTGACACTAATTATGAAGATATGGTTATTTAAGTATATTTTTTAATATATTTAATATTGACAACAAACAAAATGATTTGTCTGAACTTAAATACTTTCAAATTTTCATAGAACATACTTATATATCTATACTAACGGTTCTCTTTCCATGAGTACGACAAAAAAATTTAATATAATAAATTTTTATAAAAACTGTCACCTATAATAAAATTTTATAAACTGTCACCTATTAAATATATATATATATTTTATAAGATATTAAATATTGTTGTTTTTACCATGCATTGATAATTAGTTTGTAGTATGTTCAAATTTTCATAGAAGATGCTTATATATTTATACTATTGGTCCCTCTATTTTCGTTTATAATAAATTATTTAAATAATATAATTTTAATAATATATAAAAACCATGCAAGTCGTCACATTAATAATAATAATAATAATAATAATATCAAGAATTCAAATATCTTTCTATCAAGAATCATACATTGTTAAGATTTTCCTATTTCTAATTGCATCCATTTATCCTCCATGCTCCTTATTACCTAAAAACTTCTTTTTCTTCACCTTTTACTTTTATAATAATAATTATTATTATTAAATCGATCGATCCGCCGGATCGGAACCGGTCGCCGTGAAATCACTCGGGGAACATTCCGGTGTGCCGGATGTGGTTCAACGTGCTGCGAAGGCCGTACAAATTCACGGCAGCCATCGCAGCCCGGTATCCTCCGCCGTATGCGGGCGACGTATCGTGCTCGATTTGTTGCAAGAAAAACTCCCCCAACTTATTCTCCATGCTCGACTTCCCGCCTTTTTTAGAGGCCGTCGACCGGGAAGTCGACGAAGATGCATACGCGACACCCGCCGATCCATGCTGCCACGTCGACGATGACGGCATGTTACGGGAAACGGGCAAAACCTCCGATTCGAGCCACATATGAGAGAGGACTTGACATATCCCTTCCTCGACCTCGGGCCTCAAGTTTCGAAAGTCTATCCAAAATTCGATCCGAGTAAGTAGAGCAAAATTACACAGGTTAAAAAAAAGAATCGAACATTGTACCGTTAAGACGTAGCCACGCGTGCATTAGCTCGTGCGCAAGTATCGCGCCAGTCAGTAACCTGCGGGGGCAAATCGAGTCGAATTTCGGTAACTCTGCAACGACGAAAAATCAAAGAGATACGAGATAAGTACCTCGGGAGACCGAACAAAACAAGAATGGCTGTGACCTCGGACGACCTCCGGATAAGCCGTTGCGGCTGCGTACGCATTCCTACAAGTCCCCGACGATCCATCCGAGGCCTTCGATAAATCTGGACATCGATTACGCGACAGACGATTCAGCGATCGGGACAAAAAATGAAACATCGAGAAACAGGGGAAAAGCGAATGTTGTTCGGGTTCTTACGCTCGAAACCGTCTGTTCTTCGGAGAGACACAGACCTCGCGTTTCCGGCATGTGATGAATGCCCTGCAAGAAAACGGCAACAACAACAACGACAATGATGCTTCAGAAAAAGAAATTCTTACGAAGAACGAAACGCCGCGATGCTTACATGTTTCTCCCCTTCGAGAGCGTCGTTTAGGGCTTGTCTTTCGACGAGAAGCATCGTAATTTCTTGACCAATTCTCATGTTCAATCCTTCGTAGAAATCGCGAATGGAATGGTACAATGGCTGGCACTCTCCGGTGTCCATGATCGCCGATTCCAAGCACTCCAAGCACAAGCTTCTCCCGTCCCCGAGCGATATGTATTTCGTATCACGCGACTTGAAAATATAGGATTCAGGAAAATGTCGTTAGATTCGATCCAACTCAGCCACGTAAGTTATCGAAAAAAAACGCTTACCTCCAAACGCTCGCAGCTCGAGCATCGCACCGTGTGATCGTACTCGTGGGAAGGACAATACTTCTGCGACCAAAACGGATGGCACCGGTACTCGATCAAACCAGCGCTGTTCATCGGGATCTGCGACAATAACCCGAACACCCAAACGTTAATGTTCATCGTATGTATATATATATATCGTCAATTTTCCGAGGTAAGAATCGAAGCGATACTTACGTATCGATGACAAACTTCACATTTGGGATGAGTGAGCTCTTTGAAACAAGACTTGTGATACACATCCTTCCCCGACAATGAGAACTTGGCTCGATCGATCAAGAAAAACCGATAAGAACACAACAATGTTTCAACAATTTTGAAATCGACGACTCGCCTACCTCATGCTCGCGAATCGGGTTCCCGCATCCGTGGCAACGAAAGCATTCCGGATGGAAAAATGTCCCCATACACGAAAGGTAACTACCTTGACGGATTTCGCGATTGCATCCGCCGCATATTCTACATACGACAAAAACTTCGTATATTTAGCTATGAATGTATCGTGATTGATAAAGTTCGCTAAGTTATAATGAGTTTTCTACTAAAGATAAGTACCGATATCCCCGGTGATATTGTTCTCTCAGGGGAGCGGGAGCGTACGGATAGAATGGCTCCGAGTTGATTCGATCGTGTAGAGATCTTGGTAGATCTTCGTCTAAGTCCATCCGCCGTCTATGTCCTAAACAATCGATGCAGTAGTTAAGGAAAATAAATAATATTTTTGTAATAAAAATTTTGTCTTTAAATCCATTTTTTTGAAATTGTCGGACGAAATATTAAATTATGTCCTTAAAGTTCACATAACTAATGCCAGTCGTCCTTAATTTTGTTGCAAATATGTTGTTTTTTTGTAATAATATGCTCGAACAAGACAGGCAAAAACTGCTGTTCTAGAGTAAACCCAATAACTATTTGAGTTTATCAATAGAAATCGAAGATCACATAGTTAAAATTGTCTTGAGTTCTGTTTCTGACTTGAAGGTCATAATTTTTATTCTAACGGCGTTGAGAGTTGTATTTTCGACTATAAGAACCCTACTTCTAACTCAGTAGACGATTAAGGTTACGATTTCTTGATATTTAACCATCGACTAAAGTAGGCATTTCTAAAACAGATAAAATAACAAACTACATATAAATCAATTAAATCAAGAATCCTCCATAGAATTATTTCTAACATAAGTTATACCGTTCGGTCTCTTCAAATCTTCAGACAAAGACAACGCGATCGCGCGATCCAATTCCTCAAACTCACGATGCGCTCGGGCGCGATCATCCTACGTAAACAAATCAAACGATCAATCCATAGATCAATCATCGAATGCAAATTTCATTACAACAAGCCAAACATGTTCGAATCATTACAAGCTTTAGCAATGAATATATATATATATATATGTCAAGATTCAAATCGACAAGAAGGCTCGAGATGCATACAACAAACGGTCGAAACGGCGCGCCGCAAACCATGTCGTCGTCCCGAAGAAGACGAGGCTGATGAGGGCCGAAGGAAACTCCCCTGCTGCTGCTGTTAGCGCCACTTCTGAACAGCTTATTTAACCAACTCATGGATTTCGATCGAAATTCTCTTGCAAAATCCCACAATCATCTACTTTGGACACAATTCAATCATACGTTTAAACAAAAAAATATATATATAATTTAAAAAGTCATCGACAGAACCTAAAAGAGTTCTGCAAAAAAGCTTTAATTAGCACAAAACATAAGGAATCAATTGAAATTTAAACTCACCCCAAAAGGAAGAAGGATACAATCTTCAATTATTCTTGCAGAATAATATTATTTGGAGGCCTAATCGAAATGAAATAAGCAGACCAGAGCCAGAGAGAGAGAGAGAGAGATTGAAGGATGGGAGTGAGAGAAGTAAGGAACAATGGCGGCATTGTTATAAACCTAGAGGAGGAATCTGAAAGAAGGTTTGAAATGTGAAAAGAAGTGAGGAAATGGAGGACAACTGAAAAGCTCGAATATACGCTTGTTAATTTGTATTTGTATTTTGGGTTTTTAATTATTTTAAAATATATATATATATAAAGAAAATTTAAAATTAAAAAAAAATAATAATAAAAAAATCAGTTGACTATGATTGAGACGAGGCCTCATGAGACAATTCAAAGAGTCGAAGGGTTTGATGCATGTGTTATTTATTTTAGGTACGTGAAATTGTATTGGTAATAGAAAAAAATATATATATTGTATCGAAATATTATTTTTTGTAAATAAATAAAATATATTTACAAATATTCTTATATTTGTATAATTTTTGTACAAATATCATTTTATTAGTATTACTAGTGTGTTCGTTTGTATAAATTAATAAATTTTATTATATGACAATTTTCTTAATTCTACCCATGAAATAAGTATTGATAGTACAAATTTACAAACATGTTTAGTAAAAATTTGAATGTACTTATCTTCTATTAATACATAAATTTTCTATTATTATATAATAAAAACAACAATATTAAAATGACAATATATATTGAAAATTAATAAAATAAATATATGACAATATAAAAATATATGATTAGTTAAATATGTATATAAATTATTTTTTTTTGAAAAAAAAAATATGAATATATAATCCTTATATAACTTTATATATATATTTAAAAAATCATGCCTAGAAAATTAAAATAAATAAATAAGAAAAGGATTAAAAAATACTAATAAGTTATATAAAAATAAAAAGTGTAAATAAAATTTTTTTAAATATATTATTCATGAAACTCACAGTATTCTCATATGTTAATCTATATATTTATGTATAAATAAATTATATATATATATATGCACATATATGATTGTTATAAAATATTTATTTAAAAATGTGATAGACAAAATTAAATTGTAACTTACAATTATATAAAATATTAATGAAAATAATTTTGTAATTTTTTCTTACTTTATATTACATTTTGATATAATAATTAATATTCAAAGATCAACACGTACAAAAATAAATTAAATCCTTAGAGTTGAACGGAGATAGTATACTTATATATATTGTGTTAATACATATGCATATTTTATTTTTTTAATAATATTTGTAATTTAAAAAAAAATAAAAAAATTAAAATAATTGATTGGATATTTTATTAAAAAATAATTATTTTATATAATTTTATTTTATCTTTTTATGAAAAATTACAGTTGAATATTAGCAAAAATTTTAAGGTGTATATGTAAATAGAGTAGTAAATTTTTATTTCATTATTTTTTACTCCCTCCATCCTAAACACCCTACAATATTTTTTTTTGGTATGTCCCAAACACCCTACACCATTTCTAAAATATGAAATAATTAATTATACTTAATATATATCTCACACTTTATCCTCTCACATCATCCAAATAAAAAAATAAAATATATATTTCTCTCTCCATCACATCACATAATTTTTAAATTATCCTACTTAATACTACCCACTTAAAAACACGTACCAAAAGCAAAATGTTGCACCTTATTTGTGACGGAGGGAGTATATGATAGTGTTTCAAAGAAAAGATGACTTCTTTTGTGTAAACATTCCTGTCAGTTTTCTATATTTATAAATATATTTACTATTTACGATTAATATTAGGGTACATGTGCTTAAAGGTTAAGATACCTTTGGCATTAGAATTTCACATCAAACAAGAATATGCGTTGAAATGGATAGTTCGATATTTTTATATAAAGTGGTGAGATATTTTGGGTTTATTTATGTTTTTTTTATGGAGTTTGGAAAATTTTGGTTTGAGTTTGATACTAAAATAACGTATAATTGGATGTTTTGTGAGAGAAAAAAAAAATGTACTTCCTCCGTCGTATAACAAAGTATCAATTTTTCTATTTTAGTTCATCCCACAACAAAGTATTTATTTTTTTTTTTTAAGTAATTGTATTATCTACCTAATATTACAAATACCCTTATAACTTACAATATATTACACAAATGTCATTACTTTTATATCACACATACTAATAAGGTTATTTTAGTCATCTCTACTTTATTTCTACTACATCTCAATATAATACTAATATTTCTAAAACTACGTGTAAAAAGCAAATCGATATTTAGTTATGGTACGGAGGAAGTATTATTTTTGAGAAACACAGAGTCCAAATAGTGAAAACCGTTTGGAGTTAAAGAAACAAACTCTAATAGTTTGTGTTTTCGAATAAATCTATTTTTTTGTATTAATGTATGATGAATTGTATTGATAAAATAAAAAAATAATACTCTATTGTATTTAATTGTTGAATTTTTGTGAATGCATAAAGTATATATATATTATACATAAAATCAATATATTTTGTATTTTTTTATAATTTTTATGAAAAATTATCCGACTTAAAAATATTGAATAAACTGACAATTAATTGTTTAGTTAACAGGTAGTTAATTAAAGACAAACGTCTATTACTTGTGGACAATCTAAACAACAAAATATATCTATTATTGGCTGAGAAATGTATTAAATAAAAAATATATACTCCATCCGTCTCAATACAATAGTCTTGTTTATCATTTTTGTCCGTTCCAAAACAATAGTCTCATTTTTATAAATAATCGTATCATTATAAAACTACCCTTATTTTTCATTATTATTACACAATTGTCACTACTTTTTACACTAATACACTCACAAGGGCAAAAAAAATTTTTATTCGTACTTTTTACCCACTATATCAAACACAACTCAAACTATAGTTTTGAGACAGATGAAGTATTTAATTTAATAATTATTTTTTGTTGAAATAAAATATCATAATTGCATATTATTTGACTTTGATTTCATTTTTGTGTTCAACATTTTTTTTTAAAAAAAAAACTCAAGTTGGTTTTTACATTATCATTTGAGTTTGAACGAGTATTGAGATATTTTAAATATTTAAATTTATTATTTTATACTCCCTCTGTCCACACATAAAATAAACATTTACTTTTGACACGGTATTTAATAAATAATAATATTTTAATTATAGTGGGTAGTTAAAAGTATTAAAATGATATTTTTGTCTTTGCCTTTTGGTGTAAAAGTAATAATGTGATGTAAAGTAAAGGTATTTGTGGAAAAAAAAAAATGAGGTATTTAATGAAATGTTTACTTTTTAATTGAACGTCCCAAAATAGAAATATGTATACTTTCTAACTGGACGGATGGAGTATTAAACTTTGTTGATTTCAATTTTGTTTTGATAATATTTATTTTGGTTATTATTTAAATCTAACGAATCTATTTTACATTCCATAATTTTATTACGAATATATTTAACATGAATTAGTACGACATCATATCAGGCATTAAAATGCTTACGGAACGGCCAAGAATTAACAACATATTTGACTTGGGAAATTGGGAGTGTTCTAGAAGGTAATTAACTGGAAAAGGACGAATCTTTCTTGTCTTCTCCCGAAAGGGAAGAAAAAAATAAAAATAAATAAATATTAAAGTGATGCCCAATTTGAAATCCGAAATAAATAAAAGCAAAAACTGCTGACAAATTTGGAATCAAAATGAGCTTAGGATGGAATAATATGACAAGGAATTGACGAAAAGATTGTGCCTCCGAATATTATTTACTTTTATTTATTTATTTTTTACACCTCTTTTGTGTTCTTCAAACTTCGTGAGTTAGAGTTAATTTATAACGTCCATTTGTTCGTATCACGTCAAAAGTATATAAAAAAAATAACGGTAGTTGTCGTTCTCTTTGATAGCACGCAATATTATTACAGATAATATATTATATATGTCAATATAATATTAATACAATATATGCTACAATGTCATATAATATACACAACAGTTGATTTTAGCACAAACAACACATTTTTATTACATTGTTATATTTGTCATAAGAACATGTGTTATTTATATATATTATGAATGCTGATTTGGACGCAACATTCTCATAAATAATATATATATATAAATATATACTCCATCCCTCGGTCATTCAAATTTATGTTTACTTTTCTTTTTGAGTTATCATAAAAATATATATATATTCTCGTTTCTTTTTTAAAGTAAAAAATTATTATACTTTTGTATTTTTTTTACTGTAAAAAAAAAAATAACTATTATTATTCACTTTTATTAAAACTCATATCCGATCAAATGCACAAGGAGAGTTTATTATATATATAAAAGATTATTAATTTATTTAGTATTTATCCATCTGTACACAACAGATAATAAAAGTCTTTACAATTTGCAAAGAACATATAAAGAAAAAAAAAAACGTTTCGAAGAGAATAATGTTTGGATTGTAAGAAAGTGAAGTGTCTGTCGTCGATTTCTATTTCTTCACATTACTATTTCCGGCTTCAGAATGTTCGATTTGATCTCCTTATGCGGCAGCACGACGCCGCCGTTGCTGTAAATCTCGTCGCCGACGTGGACGTCCTCGCCGAGGATCGTCATGTTCTCGACGCGCGCCCACTGCCCGACCGTCGAGTGCCATCCGATGATGCTCGACGAGACGCACGCGTGTTTCTTGATGCGTACGCCGCGCATCACCGTGCACCGCGACAGCCGCACCCCCGGCTCGACGATGCACCCGGGTCCGATCGCGACGTCGGGACCGATCAGACACCCTTCCCCGATCGTCGCGCTCTCGTCGACCAGGACATTGCCGATTATGTGGCTCCCCGACGACAGTTTCGGCGACGATTTCTTCCTCAGCGAGTCGAGGTAGAGTCGCAGGCCCGTTATGTAATCCCTCGGCTGCCCGATGTCCATCCAGAAACCCGGGAGGACCATCGCGAATAGCTTAGTCTCCGCCGCGATTTTCGGGAAGATCTCTTTCTCGATCGACGTGGGGCGGAGCTCGATGCGGTCAAGCACCGAAGGGTTCAGAAGGTAAATTCCAGCGTTGATTTTGTTGCCGACGAACAGTTTTGGCTTCTCGACAAACCTCTCGACCTTTCCGGTGGATTCTTCCGTGACAACGACGCCGTATTTCGAAGGCTCGTCGACCTACACCGGAATATAAACTTATTTATCGTCGTGAAAGAAAAAAATTAATTTTAGGCGCTAACGACGTACCTTAGTAACCATAATTGAAGCTTCGCCTCCATGGGATTTGTGGAATTCGATCATCTCTTTCAGAGGGTATTCGCTGATAACGTCGCTGTTAAGAACGAAAAAAGGATCGCCCGAACCGTCGACGAGCTTATCCCGAGCGAGAGCAAGTGGGCCTGCGGTTCCGAGAGGCTCGGTCTCTTGCGAGCAAGTGATCTTAATACCGAGCTTCGCTTCGAAATCTTTCAAGAAGTTCAACATTACCTGCACGAAAAACATTTCGAAAACAATTAATCGGTAGAATGTCGACAAGAACAGAGAGAGCGTCGGCAGATTACCTCCGGCTGATAATTGATAGCCAAGACAACTTCAGTCACTCCAATCGCTTTCAGCGCTTCTATCTGTGCGATATATACGAAAAATATTGTCTCGTTAAGTGCTTTTAAATCGAAAGATTCAGGAAGGAAAGATAATGGAACGAACTTACCTGATGCAAAATCATCGGTTTGTTAGCAAATTCGACGAGCGGCTTGGGAACGCTCAGGGTCAACGGCCTCAATCTTGTGCCGAAACCTCCAACAAGGATTAGTGCCTTCATCTTTACGCCAAGATGTCTCTATTAGATCAATTAGACGATCTGAAACGAATGAAGAACATAATTAAAGCCCTCGTATTTAAATAGGCAAGGAAAAAAATGGAAAGCAGCAAAAAACTCTACACGACTACGAATCGAAATCTGTTTTTGCATAAGAAGACGAATTTCATACCATCAACAATGTCGGCCAACCATAACCGTATTACACGACAAAATTGACATTAATGCATTATATGCAATGTGATCGGACAAACAATCCATAAATGGGGGCGAGGAAGAGGAAGAAAACAAAATTTTCGAAGCTGTAGTTGAGGAAGCAACGACTTATGCTACACGCGCCATCAATATACATTAATTTTCTAAAAACGCGAGCGTCGGTCTAAAGAATTAGGCGGCAAAACAACAAAAGTTCCAGCCATGCCACAGGCTGGATCATTCAATGCAGTGACGAAGCCAATGATTAAATAGAGTATCTTTGGATATAGATACAAAATTCACACAATACTCGTAAATTTCTTATAAAGAAGAGTCAAGTTTCGCCAACCGATGAAACTAAATGTTTTTGTAGGGAATTATTTCATAACTTTATTGTAAAAAGACTAAAAGACAACAATATCTAGTTCCACGAAATTTTACCGAGCATTTTCTGAATCTCCTAGATCATATCTTCCAATTGATCAAAACCAAGCAGGGGAATCCAAAACAATAAAGTAGTAAAATTAATGTCGGGATCCAAGATATAACACGAAAATTTTCACTTTTGTCAGTTCAACCTTGTGAGATCTTATGCAACTGATCCTCCCAAACATAAGAATAACTTATAGAATATGGTTGCAAATATGATACAATTACCGAAAGTTAACATTGGAGCAAAATGTTGAAAAAGAAAGAGACCTCGGCGACGTCATCAAACGATTCTATATATAATATATATATATATGATCACAAAAATATGCATCTCCAACCAATGTACAATGCTACTAAGCTCACAGACCAGCCAATACCGATAAATTTATAGGCAATCAGGCCATTGCTAAAGCAATCAAAGACTCATTCCTATAGAAGCAAAACAGATTCACAGAAATTAAGAAAATAGATGAAAATTGGAAACAAAAAGATGCAGTGCACAATGAATGGGAATGACAAACAAGAAAAGCCCTAGATGTAATCCTAATTCCCAATTTTCATGGCGGACTACCTGAATTTACCCCCAAATCTTCATATTTCACACAATTCGTATACTACAAGCAATCTATCTGTCAATCGTCCTCTGATTAATCAACCACAACAATTTCTGCATTATGCGAATCCACGGATTGGTAATGTCGAGCAAAAAATTAAGAAACAAAAGCTGCATCGGCAGACCACACTACGATCTGAAAGTTTCCCCAAATTTCATTCGACAACAAATCAATAGCACTCGAAACACAATTGAATGTTGCGATGGAATTATGAAGCAATCAGACAAAACAGGCGTTCGCATTGGGAGTTCCGTTCGACAACGAAAACGAACAGAAATTCACAAAATTACGAGCACATCAAAACGAAAACTGTGGTTGCGAATGAGAAATTGCAGACGCAGAGACAGAATTAATAGATTGACATTAATTTATCCCCCCCCTCCCCCCCCAAAATGCAATATCAAATCGAACCTTTTGATTTCCCCCTGAATTGCAGCAGAGCAGATCTGCGCGGAGTCAACCCTCCCCGAGAGATTCTAGCGGCGTTTCTTCGCGAGGTGTCCGCAAAGCTCTTATCCAATCCAAATCAATTCAATCCAATGGAAGCAGCAGCACTGGTGTTGATTCGAGTTGGAGCTATATAGAGTGCTATATAATAACAGACTATGGTTTTCCAAGACTCGCTTTTTAACCATTCCAAGAAACCCACACCCTGTGATCACGCGGTATTAATCTCTGGTCAATAATAATAAGGCTTTGTTGGAGGGCATGGATTTTGACTTGTGAATTAAATAATAATTTCATTTTTTTAATTTGAATTATTATTTAGTATAGTATAAATAAGATTTGATATAATATTTTAAATATAAATTAATTTTGGTTGAAATATAAATAAAAATTAAAATTAAGTATTTAATTTGATTTTTTTTAAAAAAAATCGTCAATAGTAATCAATAAAAATCAAAACAAAACATCCAAACAAGTACACACAAATTTATCTGAAATCAATCAATCTGTTTGTTATTTTTATTTACCTGTATTTTTTTTTAGTAATTATAAGCCAAATTAACAAAATAATCCTATATTTGTTAAACTTGTTGAAAATACCATTGGTCTAAAAAAATATTTTAAGGTTCATATAATTTTTTAAAAAATACCTCAATTATATGAATATATATATGATTAATTATTACAATTAGATCGTCAACATAATTTAACTACTTATAAAATATTCTTAGAATAAAATTGTTCACTCATCTTTTTATTACATAATATATAAAATGGAGTACAAATATTTCAAAAATTATGTAAAGAAAAATAACAAATTGGATGCAATTGTCTTTGACAAATACAAAATTTGTTTTATCTAACTTAAATTTTATATTTGAATTTAAATAGTTGTTTAAATATAATATTATATTCATGAAATAAGATTTTTTACAATAATAAAAATAAAAACAAAAAAATAAAAAACAAACAAGACGTGAGAAATATAAATCCCACGTAATTTTACCAAGCAAACATATGATAGGATTCCAAATCCTAAATATAATAAATCCCATCACATATAAATCATGTTGTGAAATCTCAATCCCACAAAAAAATTCCATGAACCAAACAGCCCCTTATTGTAAATTTAAGGATTTCCGAGAACTCTTTTATTTTATTTTATTTTATTTTATTTTAATAAGAATTTAAATAGATAAATCTACCATAATTTCTCACTTCCCCAATTTCTCACTTCCCACTGACGAAGCGAATCGTTCTTCCCGTGCCTCCCCACCGAAGCGAATCGTCACCGCCGTCGATGACTGCCGTGGCCCGAACACCACTGAAGCGAATCACTGTTCTTCCCCGTTACTGACGAAGCGAATTGTTCTTCCTGTGCCTCCCCACCGAAGTGAATCGCCACCGCCGTTGCCTGAACACCACCGCTGCTACTCCTACAATTCCATCGCTGGGTCGATCCCCTTCTTCCTCCCCTTTTCTCTTCCTTTAATTCCTAAAGTATTTGAGGTAATTTCTTTGATTTTCATTAATTTTGTGTTAGGGTTCTAATTTCTGCACTGTGTTGGTGTCATTTGGTTTTTTAATATTACGGTGGGCGGTGAAGGCAGAGTTAAGAAAATATAAATCTTTATTTCTATTTTATATGCATTTTTATTTGATTAGTTTATTCGTAATTTTCTACGTTATTTCCATTTTTACAGAAGATTTAAAATTCTAAAATTGTAGGATTAATTTTTTTTTGGATGACGTGAGAACCTGTAGGATTAATTTTATAATATTATTGGTGGTTGGCAACAGATTAAATTTTTTTTTCTATTTAATATCTGAAATTTTGTGTGTAACATCATCATGCTAAAATATATAGTTGGTATTGAGAACCACCCTATATTATATCTAGTTGAACTTGTTTGAGAATCTACAATTAAATCCTTCCCGCATAAAAGGATCTCGATTTGGTGCATAAATATTATGCTTTTATAAAGATAATAAATTTGTGTATTGTTATTATTTTCATTTCAATTACATTATTTTCAAATTAAGTTTTCATATCGAGATGGATTGTCCGGCCCTACTAACGATCGATTGCTTCATCTTCAATCGACACATCGTTCTGAACGTATTTGGAATGGTGAGTTGATTGATCATAAGTGTAGTCTTGTTTGTCCCGAAAGATATTGGACTAGTATATCCTCATTATGTCATCTCAGGGTTCTTGAATTATTGCATCGAATTGGATTTTATGGGGTCTATAGAATTGGACATGTTAAGCACGATCCTGGTCTTCTTACAGCATTAGTCGAGCGTTGGCGTCCTGAAACACACACTTTTCATTTTATATTTGGTGAGGCTACAATTACATTAGAGGATGTTGCTATGATATATCAATTACCCATTGATGATAAACCCGTTGTTAGCGCTGCCACGTCTAGGCAAACTAGAGAAGGAGTTTCTGCCCTATGCATAGAGTTGTTACACTTGCCTCTTACACCGGAATACTTCAAACATGGACCTTGGATTTTACATTCTACTTTAAATAATCATTTGAAAATTTTTCAAATTGATAATGATAGTCCTAAAGAGGTAGTAGAGTATTGGACTCGTGGGTTTATGTTACTTATGATTATGGGTAGCATACTTCCCTCTTCAGATGGTAGTAAGGTTAAACTAACTTACTTATCATATATACGAGCACTTGACCTCTCTGAGAAGTATAGTTGGGGCAACGCTTGTCTTGAATGCTTATATCATAATATTTGTTCGGCTGTTATTGGACAAGATAGAAGAAAGCTTAGTGGCCCACTCACATTATTGCAGGTATAATATATTAAAAAGAAAATATGTTATGACTATATGTTTAAATATATTATTATAACATGTTAAATATTTTATTCACGACATACTTTGTTATTTCAGGTTTGGGCATGGTCTAGACTATACATGCTAGCTCGTCGAATTAAATCCGTTAAATCTATTGATCTTGATCCTCTAATACTTCCTAATGGTCTAGTACTACCGGCTGCTCCTTATGGAGCTAAGTACGTAAATTATTTATATTTTATTACGATCATCATTATATTGAAATTTTATTATTTGTAGTTCTTAATATAATGTATAATATCCATTTGTTTTGTAGATGGAGTCGTGGTAAGCATAATTTTGCACTAACCGTGCATAATTGTGTATCTGCTATTCGGGATATTCTTGATCATGAAGGAGATGGACATGTACTTTTTATTAATAGTGCAAACTTTTTTGTGGAATAATCATTTTAATCAATTTATTTATGTAATATTGTATTTATTTTCCATATAGTTTAATTAGCGGCCTTATGAACCTAACTTGTACAATTTCTTACCGCATTCTTGTCCTTCAACCTTGTTTCGGTACAAAGGACCTTTATTTTACGAGCGCTGCATCGAACATCTTCACTTAGATAGGGTATTTCGATAGTTAGGTTTAATTCAGCATATTCCGAATAATCCATCGATAGTGAAGAATAGGAATACACATAGTTCTTCACAAGGCTCAGATGCTAGAAATTGGTTGCGAATTTATCAAATATATATTCAACAGCGGTATGAGCCTAACTTGGTGATTGGTGAATCAAACTTGCATGATACGCCGTATGCTCCAGAATATCTTCAGTGGTATAGAACGCATTCCAGAAGATTTATTTATAATCCTGAATTGTGTTCATGAATTGGCTATCCACCTGGGCTACCATCTTACAATCATTTTGCGGTAAATTTGTTCTTTATTTAACGCAATCTAATTATTGCATTTTGAAAAAATTATAATAATTATTATTTTTTGTGTAGGTTAATCAATTGAGGCATTGCACTGAGATTGGAGACATCAGTCTAGTCCAAAACATTATTGACGTTTCACAAGATCGAGCAAATTGGACATTTGAGTCATATGAAACTACTTTCATAAATGATGATCAAGTCCACCTAAGTCCGGATCCTTATATTCACAGTGATTATATTCACGCATATGAGATTGGTGAAGGTAGTGGCGTGCACAAAAGCAGTATATGTGTTTATCCATGAATCAATTGATTAATAGTCACGCACGTATCGTTTTCTATTCAAATGGAACATACGACATACCTCTAACACATGTGAACATGTTACCCCATCTAATGTCCATCGACCACAAGAGCAAAACTTTTTTTTAATCGAAATAACATGCTCTTTTGATACCTGGCTAACACTATCAAGTGTAAATACCTTTGCCTCATATTAATCTTCATTTACCATCACTGCAATATGTTTTCGGTTTTTTTGCTCCGAGTCAAGATACTTTGTGCGTGTCCATGGGGACTATTCATAACCAGAGTCTTGCTTATCTCGAGTATCATGAAGTCGTTTAACGAAAAAAGCAACAACTCGATCGTACGTCAATTGTACAAGAGCAGTGATAGGTAGTCGTCGAGCCCATTTCAATACTCCATTGATGCATTCAGACAAATTGATTGTCAATATACCATGTCGCCACCCTTCATCGTAGGCAAGTGTCCATTTACTCTTCTCAATTTTCATAAGCCAATCATAAGCTGTCGGCTTCAAAAGCTGGATTGCCGCTAATGTTTTGTGAAACTCTAACGGATCAATGGATGCTCCTGCCCTCAAACACATATTTTTCAACTTTACATCTTAAATTTTTTGGTTGAAGTTAGAACATATATGCCAAAGGCAAAATTGATGCCGACCACGAGGTGGGTGAAATGTAGGAATACGATCAACTGCATTCGTGATTCCAACATGTCTATCTTAAATTAGACATTTATGATATCTATCTTGCACAATATACCTGCATACACAATAATCAAATAAATATCATTACTAGAATTTTCAAAATATATATAATTTACAACCTAATAAATTAAATTACCTTCTTACTAGCTGGAGAAACTACATCCAAGATTCAGTACTCTGCATCAACAATGGCAAAGGCTAATGGCAATATATAATGGTTGGCATCTATAGTAGCAGCAATCAACATAACATGCTTATATTTTGCATATAAATGAGTCTCATCCACACTAATCACATTCCGACAATGACGGTATGCCTCAATACAAAGTCCGAATGCCCAAAATACATATCCTAATGTGTATTTCTCTTGGTCTGCTGCT